TTCTTTTTTTTTTTTAATTTTTTGTATTTGTTTTTTTTATTGATTTTTTATTTAAAAAGTTTTCTTTTTTCTTTTCTTTCAAAATTTTTTCATTTTCTTTCTTTTTTTTCTTTTTTTTTTTTTTCTTTCTTTTATTTTTTTTTTTTCTTTTTTACAAATTTTTCTTTTTTTCTTTTACAGACATTTTTTTCTTTTCTGCTTCTTTTTTCTATTTTTCCAAGTTTTTTTTTTTTTAATTTTTTTTCTTTTCTTTTTGTCTTTCCTTAAAAAAGAAGTCTTTTTTCTTTCTTTTATTTCTTTTTAATTTTTATTTAAACATTTTATTTTTTTCTTTTTTTTTTTTTTTTCTTTTTTATTATTTTTTGAAGATTTTTCTTTCTTTTTATTTTTTCATTGTTTTTTTTCTTTTTTCTTTCCTTCTTTTTTTTGGAAGTAGCTTTTTGTTTAAAAAGATTTATTTTTTTTTTTCAAATTTTTTTGTTTATTTTTTCAAATAGTATTTTTCTTTTTTTTTTTATTGGATCTTTTTTTTTTTTTCTTTCTTTTTCTTTTCTTTTCGAAAAAAAAATCATAAATTTTGGTTTTTAAATTTTTTTTTGTTTTTTTTTTTTTTTTTCAACATTTATTTCCATTTTTCTTTTAACAATTTTAAAAAATTCAAAAAAATTTATTTATATTTTTTTTTTTATTATTTTTATTTTTTATTTATATTTTATTTTTTTTTTTTTTTTATTTATTTTTTTTTTATTTGTCAATTTCTTTCTAGAATTTATGAATTTTCTTTCTTTGATTCTTTCTTTTTTTCATATTTAAAATCAAAAAATTTTTTTTTCTTTTTTCAATTCTTTTTTTTATTTCTTTCTTCCATACATTTTCTTTTTTTTTGTACTTCTTTTTTTTCTTTCTTTTTTTTTCTTTATTTTCTCGTTTATTTTAGTTTTTTCTTTTTTTTTTTTTTTTTCTTTTTTTTTTTCTTTCTTTCTTTCTTCCATTTTCTTTTTTTTTTTCTTTCTTTTGAAAAATAACTCAATCTTTTTTTTTTTTTTCTTCCAATGTTTCTCAAAATTTTTTTCTTTTCTTTTCTTTTTCTTTTTTTTTAAATTCTTCATAATTTTTTTTCAAATTTCTTGATTTATATTTTTTTTTTTTTTTTTAGTTTTTTATTTTTCTTCAATTTTTTTTTCATTTTTCTTTCACCATTTTTTCTTTATTTTGCTTTCATCATTCAACTCATTTTTTTTTAAAAAATTTAGTTTTTTTTTTTTTTTTTTTTTTTCAGGTTTTTTTTTCTATTTTTCTTTTTTTTTTTTTTATTTTTCAAATGTTTTTCTTTACATTCTTTTTTTTTAATTTTAAAAATGAATTTCTTCTTTTTTTTCTTTTATTCAAAGTTTTTTCTTTTTTCTTTCATTTTTTTTTTCTTTTTTTACATCTTTTTAAAAGACAATTTTTTTTGAATATTTTTTTTTATTGAAAGAACAGAATGTATTTTCTTCTTTTTTTCTTTAATTTTTTAAATTTTTTTTTTTTTTTTTTTTTTAAGAAAGAAATTTTCTTCCAATTTTCATTTCTTAATTTTTTTTCATTTTTAAAAAACCAAATTTTTCTTCTTGAGAAAAGGACAATTTTTTTAAAAAGGAGAAATTTTTAGTTTTTTTAATTCTTTTAAATCCATTTTTTTTTTTTCCATTTTTGCTTTCTTTTTTTTTTTTAAAAATTAAAAATGAACAAATTTATTTCATTCTTGTTTTTTCCTGAAGGTTCTTTTTTTATTTTTTTTACAAAAAAATTTTTTTATTCATTTGAAAAAATATTTTTTATATTTTTTTTTTTTCAAATTTCTTCTTAAATCTCTTTTTATGAATTTGTAATTTTTCATTAAGGTTTTATAACTTTATATCGATTTATATTTATATTTTTTTTCATTATTTTTCTTTTTTCTTTATCAACCCTTTTTTTTTTTCTTTTGTCTAAAATTTAAATAAGAATTTCATTTAATCACAGATTTTTTTTAAAAAATATTTTTTTCAATGTATTTATTTTAAATTGACCCTTTTGAAAGAAAATTATATTTCTTTAATAATAAAGTCTTTTCTTATTTTTTTTCTCCATTCATTATTTTTAACCCCAGTTTGTTTTGTTTTTCTTTTGAATTATTATTTTAAAATATTATTGTCTTTTGATTACAATTTTAATTTTTAAAAAAATTCTGACAAATTTTATTAATCAAAATTTGAATTTTTTCTTAAAAACTTTCCCAAATTTTTTCTGTTGAATTTTTTCAACGATTAAAAAAATTTCAATTTAAAATAAACATTTAATTATTTTTTCAAAAAATTTCAAAAACCTTAAAAAAAAGATAGAAAATGATATATCAAAAAAATTTTTTTCATTTTAATTCCTTAAAAAAAAATATTTTTATTATATTTTTTTTTTTATATTTATTTCATTTCCAATATATTACAAATATTCTTATTTATAAAAAAATACAAAGATATTT